CCACGGTTGGGGACCTATGTGAACTGGAGTGGACTTTTGTCAATCGTGGTCTGGCGCGCGTGGACATGGAGGAATGGTCGCATCTTCCATGGTCGTACCTTGGGTTGTGAGGCGCGGAGAGTAGAGGTTTTGGCCCGACTGCAGACTTACACTCATGCAGCCTCGACTTTCGCTACGATAGGGGCGAATATGCACCGCTTCGAGTCACGATTAATTTATTGGTCCCCACCGGATCCTGGATGGGTCAAAGTTAATACGGGTGGCGCGTTTGACAAGACTTTTGGGCTAAGTAGTGCGGGTGGGACTATTCGGGATGAGATGGGTAGATGGACTACGGGCTTTCTTATGAACATAAGATATTGTACCATAACATGTGCTAAATTCTGGGGTCTTTTTCAGAGGCTACAACTTGCATGAGATATATAGTTTCGAAGGGTTATGGTAGAGGTTGATAGCAAATGTGTGCCACATATGGTAAATGGCACCGACAGTAATATTTTTTTTTAACTATTTTGGCCCCATATCTTTTTGTTTAATGCAATTCAACTAAATGAACAATTAATGTGGGGCCCACTTGTTTTGACACCAAATAAATGACATGCATTGGTTTAAAACCAATGAGAATTTTTGACATTTAAATGACACACATATATAAATGCCAACGCAGATGCCCTTATACATTTTTTTTTTTTCCTTTCATTATAAACAATTCTCACAATGATCATTATAATCTTATATGATTTTATTATTATATAACATAAATATATATATAGAGGAGATTATTTTATTTTATAACATCTAGCAAGGCAAGTTTATTTTATTTTGTAACGGTTCGGGGGTCCCATAGGCCACCCTAATGTTCCCTTGGAACATGGAGAAGATTGTGGCACATATTTTTCTCCCTAACTATAAATAATTTCTCCCCATCCTTTCTCCTCATCTCCCTTACTCTCTTTCTATTTGCTTGCCTCTCTTCACTCTCATAATCACCACATTAAAAAA